CTTGATATGTATTTTACCACCCAAATATTAAAATAATTCTTAAAAAGTGTCTACAGAAAATAAAACAATGATAACAAAACTCAGGTATTAAAATACTTAGCAAAATGCCAATGATGTCACACAAATCCTCTTTTTTTAATTTTAGATGGACACAATACTTTTATTTATTTATTTTTATGTGGTGCTGAGGATCAGACCCAGTGCCTCACACATGCAAGGCAAGTGCTTTGCCACTGAGCCACAATCCCAGCCCAAAGCAAGCCCTTTTTTTTTTGTGTGGTGCTGGGGATCCACTCCAGGGCCTATGCATGCAAGGCAAGCACTCTACCAACTGGCTGTATCCCCAGCCTGCAAGCCCTTCTTGATTATGGATAAATTGCAACAGGTTGGTTCACTACCTTAATTCAAAAGTAGAGATGAATGGAAAAGTTATCTGAGGTCGCCATGACGACTGTCACGTGACATGAACATACCTGGGATTTTACTGGGAACAGAGTCACAGTAATGCTGTTGCTTCTTGATGACCTTCACAGAAGCAAATGCTGAATCTCAGTTTGCAGTTAGTGGAAACAGAGATGTGATTTCCCTCCTCCATCCTAGTTCCAGAACTCCCTAAATTCTGTACGTGTGTTCTTGAGGGTGGGCCCCAGGTAAACTGGCTGTGAATCAAGTGCACAGAACTCTGACTCAGAGGAAGCTCTCAGCAGATCTTAGCAACAGAAAAACTGGCTCCACTCCTTAAGAGCAAAGATAGTCAAAGATTTGCATCTGCATCCAAGACAGACAACTTACTCCTTAGAATGGATTCAACTATGCTACTTGAGAAAAGGAAAAAAAAAAATGTGTTTTTCTATCACAGTGTATTCATTTCCTGCTTCCCAAGCCAAGAAAGGTTATTGCTTTATTTATTTTATTATTATTTTGAGCCACATCTCCAGCCCTATTTTTGTATTTTACTTAGAGACAGGGTCTCACTGAGTTGCTTAGTGCTTCACTTTTTTTTTTWAAATGTTAAAAATGCTTTTAATTTGTATAAAGTGCAAAGAAACACTACTGAGAAACATAAGAAAGCATATAAAATGGCCAAAGCTAATGTTCATGCACAGGGACACAGCTATATATTTGCTACTGCCTAGACTCAGACACCCAGGAGAGAAGCTTGCTTTTCCTCCTAACTTATTTTGTGTCTCTCCAAAGACTGAAGAGTTGATGGTAGCTTACTGTTGCCACCCTCTGAGTTTGGCAAGAGGTTATACACAGGGAGGGTTTATAGCTGCCATTTCCTATTGCTTCCCTAGTGACACAGCACGGGAGGTTAAGTTACTTCAGGAGACTCATAGTGCTTCACTTTTGCTGAGGCTGGCTTTGAACTCAAGATCCTCCTGCCTCAGCCTCCCAAGCTGCTGGGATTATGGGCATGTGACACCGCATCTGGCTGCTTTATATTTTTATAACTGAATAACTTAGTAGACCTTTAGCCAGACTGGCCATCTCTTGGTCAACCCTCACCATAAAGTGGTAATAATGATTCYGAATCCCACAGAGCAGGATCCACTCAGAATGCCTGGCGATGGGAGCTATTGTGTTTTTAGTTAACTTAGACCTCTGGGTATCAAAGGAGACCAGCAGGCAGATCAGTGATTTCTGATTTTGAAAAACCGGCTTGGTGGGTAAAAGAGCCTTCAGTTTAAAAAGGGTTTCACAATTTTTCTTTTCTTTTTTTTTTTTTTTAAGAGAGAGTGAGGGGAGGGGGAGAGAGAGAGMGAGAGAGMGAGAGAGAGAGAGAGAGAGAGAGAGAGAGAGAGAATTTTAATATTTATTTTTTAGTTCTCGGCGGACACAACATCTTTGTTGGTATGTGGTGCTGAGGATCGAACCCGGGTCGCACGCATGCCAGRCGRGCRCGCTACYGCTTGAGCCACATCCCCAGCCCCCACAATTTTTCATTTGCAAGAGAGGGAGGGTGTTAATAAATAAAACCGAAGTGAACACCKTCAGGGGGCTGCGACCGGGCCGATTCTCAATGGCCGTTGAGTAAAAGCAGTTTTGAAAATGTGATTTTCCCAAAAGGGGAGATGAAATATGAGCTCAACTGAAATGTCCTCGGTGAAAAGTGACTTTTTAAAGAATACTCAAGACAGGAGGCCCTACTGTGTGCGCACAAGCAGAGGGTGTTCTGGAGAGTGCGTGTAGGGGCCTAGGTGCAAGGGCTTGGGATGGTGTGTGTGGRTGGGGGGAGGGGAAGGGCGTGTGTGGCCGTGTTTGTTGGTGTTCCTGTGTGCAGGAGAAAAGGGGTTTCAGCCGTCTCCTGGGGCCCCCTCTTGAGTCCCTGTGAAAGTTGAACCAGCTGTTGCTTTGCTTGTTTGCTTCGGTTTGGTGCCATGAGGGCCTTCCGTCCAGGAGGGCACAGGCCCTGGGACCACCCACTTCCACACACCCTCCTGGAGCCCAAGTCCCAGGTCCATGTTTTCTCAGGTGGCTCACAGTCAGTTTGGGGTAAGGAGGATTAAAAAAAAGAAGTGGTCAACAGAAAGATGAATTAAAAGAGAGACAACCTCCAGGCTGGGGTGTAGCTTAGTGGTGGAGCGTGTGCTTAGCATGGGCAGGGCCTTGGGTTCAGCCCCCAACACACACAAACTAATAAATGACTTAAAATGGACGGAGGCATAGATGAACCACGTAGAGTCCAGGTGTTGGGTACGAGTGTTCGCTCTACATTTCTAACTTTCCATTTTGGGGGGAGTACTAAGGATGGAACCCAGGCAAATGTTCTTTCACTGAGCCACATCCCCAGCCCTTTTTATTTTTTATTTTGAGACAGACTCTCGCTAAATTGCTGAGGCTAACCTCGAACTTGGATCCTCCTGCCTCAGTCTCCTGAGAAGCTGGGAGCACTGACAAATGCCAGCACAACTGGCTACTTCTAGCTTTTGTGTATGTTTGGAATTTTCATATCAACTTGCTGGAGAAGGTGAGGTATCTAATCAAAAGCAGGTCGCTGTCCCAAGACCCCCACATTTTGAGGTAACTGGGATAACTTTCCTCTACCTTAGTTAAAAAATACGTACGTTAAAACATAACTAAGATGATTAATTAGATTCTAAGAACATAATGGGAGAGGTATATTCCTGACCTTTAAATCTAACTTGTTCTGAGCAGGTAAAGCAAGAAAGTGGCTAATGCCCGGCACCATGGTGCATGCCTATAATCCCAGTGGCTCAGGAGGCTGAGATAGGAGGATTGCAAGTTAGAGGTCAGGCACTGCAATTTAACAAAAACTCTGTCTTGAAATTAAAAAAAAAAAAAAGGACTGGGAATATAACTAAGTGGTAGAGTGTCCTTGGGTTTAATCCCAGTACCAAAAAAAGAAGAGAGA